TGCTCTGTGGAAGGTTGTGTCCAGTGGGGGCAGGGTCTGTGATTCTGCAAGGGTACCAGGTTGCTAGGCAGAAAAATTGAAATCTCTGGAGGGAGAGACAGCAACCCCTTGTTTAGAGTGTCCATATTTATAGAGGGACAGTTGCTAGAGGCAGGACTATAGGTGGAGCCAGGGCACAGTTATACAACTTTACACTGGTTTTTCCAAAGTTTGAGCACTTATTTTATTCATGATACTTTTTTGCAGGCAAGGGTGTGGGTTAAGGGCATGGACCAAGGGCTTTAGGGACAGGGCTTTAGGTTTCAAAAATTGAAACAACTACATTGTAATTGATTACAGTGGAAATGCATCAAATACAGATTTAATAATACAAATTCAAATGTATGCACTCAGCAGAAAAAAATTGAGCAGCTGGAATACAGAAAGTGCCCATGAACCTTTGAAATGCAAAAAAAAAAAAAAAAAAAAAAAAAAAAAATCATTAGTGAGCAACCCAGCCCATGTCCCTTTTGCCCTGTCCCTAAAGCCCTTGGTCCATGCCCTTAACCCACACCCTTGCCTGCAAAAAAGTATCATGAATAAAATAAGTGCTCAAACTTTGGAAAAACCAGTGTAAAGTTGTATAACTGTGCCCTGGCTCCACCTATAGTCCTGCCTCTAGCAACTGTCCCTCTATAAATATGGACACTCTAAACAAGGGGTTGCTGTCTCTCCCTCCAGAGATAGTCCATTCACATTTTCCCTTGAATGTGTATTCCTTGCTTTACCCCTAAAGTTTCTCACTCTTGAGATGGTCCATATTCTCCTTTGAATGTATTTCTGCTTTCCTAAGTAAACCTCTGTCTGTGGGAAAAGAAAGAAATAAAAGAAAGAAAGAAAGAAGAAGAAGAGTTCTTCAACCCTTGCTCCTGATCATTAAGCAACTATTTTAAGTCTTGCCTTTCCATACAGGAGAAAATACATTGGTTAGGTCAATACAAATGTCCATTCTGTTTGATAGTTACATTTGCATCATAAAATGGTAAGTTGCCATTTTGGCTGAATACAACAGTTTCTTGGATGCTTTGTTACCTTGAGTAAATAACCTTAGGTCTAATTATCACTGGAAGGTAACTTTTGTGTGAAGTTGAGGGTTACACTAAGACTGGAGATTAATTAAACAATTCTATGCCCCTTGTTGGTGACCCATGGGAGGTGGGAAATGGTCTGGCATTCTTTGGAAGGATTTTTTTCTACATTTGAGGGAATTGCTGGTCTTTAGATACATTGTCAACTTTGACTACTTGCTTTCACAATTCAGACCAGGTTGAAGAGTCTGAATGATAAATTTAGCTCTCTCTTTTTTTGTAATCTCTCTTCTTCCTTTTAGAAATATTCAAATGTAGCTGGTGCCTTTTGTAGTCATTCAAACCAGTGCTCAATTAGAAAAGTACAATAGATCAGGGATTCTCCAAATTGGGCTTGCAATTACTTCTCAGTTTATTCATCCCTCCATTTCCCCAAACTACCTTCACTGGCTTAGTGTAGATTTGAGGACATATGTTCCTGTGATCATAATTAACTGAAATGACTATGGGATATTTACATGGTACTTTTAAAATATTTATGGACACAATACTAATGGCATCTAGTAGTTTACTCATTGCATTTAAAAAATTTGAGCAATATATTATTCATAGCTGGTCAGAAATTCATAATGCATGAACCCCCTCTAGTGTACTCTTTGCTTGCGTGCTTGGCTTTCCAAATTCCTGAGGTTGTCCCTGGGAAATTCTAAATCTCCATCGCATGCATAAATACATCCCAATCTCATGGCCTCTCTCTGGGTGGATATGGCTTTTTCTGAAGAGCTAGGAACAACAAGCATGATTCTATCCATTCCTAGAAAATCTGGGCAATGTATTAGAAGTAAATGCTGTCACTTGGATTAAGGGATGGAGACACAGACCATTTGAATGGAACACATAAAGAACATGCCTTTTCAACACAGTGGAACAGGGTGTGAAAGAGAGATCCCCAGTACTAGATCAATCAACTGACCAATCAGATTTATTGAATACACATTTGGACTCAGCATGGGGCTAGTTGTCATAGCAGATCATTTTATATTTTGTTTGTACAATTTGGGTCTTCTGCCATGTTGAAAAAGACATTATCTCTATCAGTGAGTTTTCTTGAGAATTAACTGTAAATTGGGAGGAAGTAAGCAGAAAGGAGTTATAAGGTGAGGAAGATGTATGGGAGGAAATACTGAGTTATCATTTGAAAGTAAGTATCCTCTCAGTGTAACACCACCGATTTCTTACTCAATTCCTAAGATGGTTTTTCGGATAATGAATAAAAAACAGCAATGTTCTAGTTATACAATAAGTTTTGATGTTTAGCAAAACCATTAATACAAACCACAACTCCAGTTCACCAGCATAGTGATCAGAAGCTGTTTCTGTGCTTTTTAAATGCAGCTGGAAATTAAACAACTTGATGTTGGTGCTGTTGAAAAAGATGCTACATCTTGAACCAAAATTATCACGATATAATATCATGGGATGAGGATATTTTAAATGATACTTAATAAGAATTCTTTAAAAGAACAGCATAAAAATGAAACCCAACAGAGGATATACGTCATAGAATTGTGTGATTACTCAAAAATTATCTAATATACCTATCTATTTCTGTAAACTGGAAACTGATGACCAGAGATATGAAGTGTCTTAGCCTGGACACAGCCGGTTCAAGGCACAGCTGAGTAGGAATCTAGGTATCAGGATTCTCAATCTAGCTCTCTTTCCAGTTCTTCTTTTTAAACTTTCACCTTCAGTAGAAGAAGCAAAACAGTTAAGTTATTGCCCACCCCTGCACTCTTGGTTAATTAGTTAATTAGAGGTTGGGGAAATTATATGAGAGAAAATCATGGAGTTCTATCACTCACTTAGATGTTCTTTATTCAGTAGCATAAATGTTCTCAGAAATTGTAGTCTGGGGCTTTGAGCTTGAGAGAAAGCCAGGATTTCTGCTGACAAACTCTCAAAAAAAAAAAAAAAAAATCTATAGCCATTAACTGGAACCCGGATGCTGCATTAGCAGGCTACACCAACTGCTTAATGAGGTGCCCCCGAACAGGGTGATCAATAGGGAGTTCTGCTGGGGGTGGCACATCTCCTCAGAAACTCACCTATTCTCAAAGACAAATGCAGAGGGCATGGTGGGCAGTCAGAGAGGCAGGGTGAATTAGTGTCAAGGAACATCTTTTATTCATGCGAGTAATACATCAGAGGGAACTGAGCATGGCTTAGTTTTTTTGTCACAGAAATAAAATGAGAAGCACTGGAAAGTTGGCACTTTGTTAAAATGCCATTTATGAGTTGTGCAGTACATATTCTGCACTCTGTGCAATACTGTCTGCTTTACTAATGAGTCTGTTGGTGAGTTTAGGGGGTTACACATCTATGGGAACTTGGTGGAATGAGGCTCACGGTTAGGCAGTCTAGTAGTTCTTCTTTTACAGGTGGAAGACTGAGGAGAGATTTTTAAATTTCTGAACTAGTAGGGGCAAGTATGGGGAGCTTGGCTGTTGTTGAACTGGAGCTCTCCCAGCATTTAGAGTGATGGATTTGTGCCAGTGAATGGTAGTGGAAGACCTCCAGCTGGCCCAGTGGCAGTTACAGAACTATCCCCTCCCTTGACAGGCAGTGGCCCAGATGTGGGTAGGTCGCTGCACGGTGGCATGTTTCTAGGAGGCCCTCCTTCCTCAGTAGCTCACAGCCAAGGCTGGTGGGACTCAGAGACAAAAGAACTCCACAACTGATTTCACCATTCATGTCTCTGTACCCTTATTTCCCTCTTCTTGGAAATGGTAGTTATAATACCTTTCCCGCAGAGCTTCTGTGAAGAAGAAATTAAATCCTACTCTAGTTAGTGTGCTTGGCACAGGGGAGTGCTCTCCCGTGCTAAGAATTTTCCCCTTCAGATCAGTAAAGTTGTCGATGATCACCCCTCTCCTGTGGCGGTAAGAGGCCGGCTGCTAGTCAACCCCTGGTAAAGTTTCCGTGGTGTTATAGTTTGGATCTTGAGTATCTCTGTGTTAAAGGCTTGGTCCCCAGGGTGATGCTATTGGGAGGTGGTAGAACCTTTGAGAGGTGGGGCTTTGCGGGGTTTAAGTCACTGGGGGTGTGCCCGCAAAGTGAGACTCTGGCATCTTGCTTTCTCACTTTGGCTTCTTGGTCATGAGGTTAGCAGTTTTGCTAACTGCATGCACTGATGTTATGTGCTACTTTACACAGACCTACAACATTGGAGCCCAACAGATTATGGACTAAAACCTCTAAAACTTTGAACCAAAATAAACCTTTCCTCTTAATTATCTCAAATATTTCATTATGATGATGGAAAGTTGACTAAGACACTTGGCCTTGGGAGCCTCGGTTCCTCCACATGCAAATTAGAGGCTCCGTGGAATTTACATCATATACACATTATAACTATATGAACCTTGCAGAGAGAGAGGGAGGGAGGGAGGGGAGAGAGAGTTCAAACAGTGCACATGCCTACTCACGTGCCCACTCAGTGAGCATAAAACACAAGTAAGCAATAGTGGGAGGTATAAATCTGATATTCCTCCAGTAGGTCTCAGTTGCTGCATTCTATACATGGTGTGAATAGTCATAAGCAGTATGAATCTGGTATGGGTGTAAGTGTAAAATGTGTATGTATATAAATACATGTATATATATATATATATATATATATATATATATATATATATATATACATACATATATACAGCACACTCATATGAATACATATATGTATGTGTATATATATAGATATATATAGATATAGATATATAGATATATAGATTCCCCCCCCCCAACAATATGGCACCCAAACATAACCAGCTACCCAATTGAATAGTTCATCAAAGAAGCAGCCTCCTCTTCTAATGCGGTCACAGTAACTGAATGATGGTATTATGCTGATCTTCAACAAAATTATCTTCCATGATAGCTTTGGCTATGGATGACTTGTCTTCTCCTCTGACTTTAGCATGTAATCCCTAATGAAAACATTTCCCTGTAAATGTCTCCCAACCAGGAGAGTTGATATGAGGATCAGGCAGGATGTGAAAGTACTGTGAAAAGGGCCAAAGCTGAAGACAGATGCAAGATGTTGTTTTTAATGATTTCTTGATTATAACTTCTCTTTCAGGTTTTGGGTATATGGATCCAAGTGGGTTATTTCATTTTTGTTTTCTAGGACTTGATTTTCCCACCAAGGCTACCAAAACTCTCAGTGGAAAGGATTATGGAAGATCTTTGGGGGTAATCGCCACCTTGCCTTTGGGTGTTGTTAGAGGACAGGGATGAGAGGAGCCTGTGAAGCACTCCAATCAGGGATCAGGGATGGAGTCTGGAAATTTAGAGGTTTGATCTGCTCCATGGGTGAATATGAATATGTTAGAAAAACCATAATGAAAGGGATTAATTGTGTGTCTATGTTTAAATGAGAGTAAAAAGAAGAAAATATTATTCTTGCATGAAACTCCTGAAAAGTCTCATTCATTGTTAATGTTCCACTGTATTTCTAGTGCAGAAATGCAATGTTGGAAGCCAACAATGTCTTTTCAGGTGTTTCTTACACATTTCTAGGTCTTAGTGATTCTAGGTTCTAATGAGGAGCATATAACTCATTTGACAAGTATCAGAAAATAGTGATTTTCCAATTTTGGAAGTTTTAGTGGCAATTTGAAAGTTCTTTTTAAATGAATACAGAACAAAATAGCAATGGTACCTTTTCAGAGATGAGCAGGCTAATGACAAAAATGATAATTTGGATTTGGATGATTTTGGAATTTCCTTCTTCTTCTTTTTTTTCTTTAAACACGTTCCAAAAATCTTCAGGACTCTGTAAATTTTGATATTTAACCACTATAGGTCACTTTCAGGGTTGGTAGCTTTTAAAAGAAGTTCAGGTAGTTTCTGTCTACTAAGTTGGGCCTTTTGAATTCCTCATTGGCATAATTCTTTCCTAAAACATTTCTGGACAGAAAATGGATTTTCAGACTATCGGTGAGTCTCATAGTGATTTTGGTACACTTGGGAAAGATGAAGCAAAACCAAAAGAAAACCTCTAGGAAGTAGATAGTGTGTTACAGAGCCAGTGTAGAGCTGAGCTTAGTGGGAGAAGGAAATAACGATTGTAGAGAAAAACTGAAGCCACACTAGGAGACAAAGTGGATGCAAGTAGCAAAAATGGACAGGACTCCACCCAGGGTGGAAACCAATGTCAGAGTCAAAGGCCAAACCAGAAGGCGAGCAATAAAGCCATAGTTCTGGAATAGTCTAGGACCCAGGAGACTTCTCTACTAAGTTTCAAAATAATAGGACATCATAAGAACTGGGCTCACATTCTGGCTCTTCTACTTGCTAGCTATATGGCTATAATCAAGTTACTTAAACTTTCTGATCTTCAAATTCCTTATTTATAACTTATGTTAATTATGAGGTGCATGAGTGAGTGTCTTGTATAATTACTGCTCATGTTAGTATTATTACCATATGGTCCTCTGCCTCACCTAATAAGCCCTGGGTATGTGGGTAAAGCCAGCTTGAAAGGCAGACCTGGTTTGGCCAGTCACTCTGCTCTTATTAGAGTTGGCTTTCCCACAGGTGACTACAATACCCTGTCAATCAAACCCTGGTGGGATACTCTACATTAGTGAAGCCTATAAAACTGCTCCTCATTTGTCTTCATTTTCTCGGCATCATGACCAGCTTGATTTTCTCATTAATGGAGCATTTGCTCAGGAATTATTTTCTAGAGGAATTTAGCCACTAATCCCCATTATGATAGCAAAATCAACAAGAAGCCCCCCTGTGTCAGTCAGGGTCTCAGCAGGAAACAGATGGCATACTTGAATTGGATGATTTGTGGAGAGTAGAATTATTGAGGAAAGCAAGGCAGGATGTAGAGATACTACTCAGAGAAGTACAGAAAATAGGATCAACCACTGAAATGTATTCTTTCTATCCCAACCCTGAAAAGAGAAGGGGAAGACAGGTTATCAGAATCTAGAGATAGTGAGAGAACTCCCCTGCTTGTGTTGTAAGCTCTGTTTGAAGGATGGAGACCATTTGGGGCAACCCTGCATGGAAAGAGCCAAAGGAATAAATAACAAACTTCTTTTTCTTTCTTCCCTCTGGTCTTCAGCTTGTGTTCCCTCTTGACCAAACCCAGTGGAAGGCAGACAGCAAAGGAGTTTGAGGATTCCACCAATGCAGGTTGATCTCCCAGGCACAGTGTAGAGTGGAGATGGGTGGAAAGCCAGTCTGGAGAGACAAAGAGAAGATACTCTGCTCAGCCATTCTTAGAGGCCCTCAGCTATTCAAGTGTAGCCAGGGTAAGTATGTTGGATCTAGCAAGTCATGTTTAAGATATTTAATAGGTGATCGCAAGATATTTGTTATAAAAATAAGTTTATTGAATCCTGGGCTACCTTAGAGAACTCAGTGATACCAATTGAGAATCAGACCGACCCAAGTTCTGCTCTGGCTCTACCATGCGTTATCTCTTATATGCTCTTAATAAGTGATTTAAATCCTCTCAACCTCAGTTTCCTCACCTGTAAAATGGGAGTAATGGTACTTCCATGAGAGTTGGCACAGTATTAAATGAAATACTAAGTGAAAATACATTCAAGTGGCCTCCACACTGTATACCCATATTGTAAAAGAGGGAACAGAGAGACTGTAATTGCTGTCCTTTTATTATCAAAGAATTATGTTCTATTCTAGGTGAAAAATTGCAACTCTGGTGAGCACAAACTCGGATATGTTGAAATCTATGTGGTGTTCTGTTAAAATATGGCTTTGGTTCTCATTGGGGAGCCTAAAAAGTCTTATTTGAAGTGAAGATTGTGTATTAATTTATACCTATGGAATCCTTGTATGACATTTCCAAATCTGTCGTAAGATAATGGCTCTAAATGGTTTATAGCTTTTAAAAAATCTAATAAATATAGTAACTTTGTACCTCAGTGTAATGAAAAAAGAGATGTTTTGGGATATATCATTCCTCATTGAAATGCATTACTGTTTCCCACTAGCATAAATCTTAGAATTGGATATCTTCTGTTGGCTCATTTCTTACAGGAGAGTCCCTGAATGAATTGACTCTTCAAGGCTGTTCTCCACTTGCATTCCCAGCCCACAAAGACCAGAGACTGGCTAAGACTAGAGCCCAACACAGAATGGCCCAGGCACGGCGGGCATTGGGGAGACATCTCACAGAGGCATTTTCCATACCGAACTTAGCCTCCTATACACTGTTCCAACAGGGCCATTTCATCACATTCTGCCTCACTCCCCAGGTGTGTTTCCAATCTCCTGTAATTTTATTAAAACATGTGAGTCTGGATTTTCTATAGACAGGCTTCCTTCATACAGAACACTAATGATGGAGACACAGATATATCCCAAATAAGTAATTCTAAGTACACAGAGTTTGATGGGGGTGGGGATGGGGGTCCCAAGGAAGGGGATGCACAAAGGAGGAGAAAAGAAGAAGAGGAGCAGGAAGCCTCTGACTGGTCATAATGTGGATACTGCAGGAATCCAGATGCAAAGGGAATTGAGCAATTTGGCTGGTATAGGAAGAATCTGGGCTCTACCTAAGTTGCACATTGTTCTACAGTGAAGTTCCCCTTACACCCTGACCTGTATCTGGAATGATATTTGTATGCCCTATATATTCCCATAGATGTAACCAGCATTTTATGCCAGTGCCCAAGACACTCTCTTTTCCCAAGCTGAATGTGAGTGAAGGTATGGTACACAAGGAGAACAGTGGATCTGTTTCAACATTATATAAATATTAATATGTGGGCATGAGCATCTAAAAATATGTTGGATGTATCTTCAGACTCTATCCAGATGAGAATATAACCACTTCTGTGCACCTCTCCAGCAATTATCTTGGTATCTCTCTTGGATTACACCAAGAGCCTCCTAACTGGTCTTCCTGCGGCTACTCCCTGTTTTGTCTAGTTTACTCTTGACACAGCAGTCAGTATAGTCCTTTGAAAATGCAAGTCAGGTCATGTTACTCCTCTACAAAACCTGTGCCAGCTCCCCACTTCATTCAGAGTAAACTCCAAATCCTGAAGGGCCTACCAGGCCTTTCTGTGATCCAACCTCTTGAGTCTCCTCTCCCAGTCTTTGCCCAGCCTCTCTGCTCCAGCCAGTCTCGTCTCCTTTTTGATCTTCAGATAAATTCAGAACACTCCCTTAAGGCCTTTGCCCAGCTGTTCCCCGTCTCTGAAATACTCTTCTACCTGATTTTTGGATAGACAACTTGCTCACCCCCTTCCTGCCTTTTTTTGGTTGCCAATTTTTCTTCCAGGCCTTCCCTGAGCACCCTATTTAAAAAGGAAACCCATTCAACCCCCACCCCCTTCCCAATACTTCTCATTCTTTTCTCCCCAAATGATAATCTACAGAAGCACCTATCATTTAACATACTTCACATTTCTATTTATTATATTTATTGTCTATAATATGAACTCTACCAGGGAAGGAGCTTTTGTTCGTTTGGTTCTTGATGTATCTGCAGCACAAAGAAAAATGTCCAGTGATGAATAACAAATATTGCTTGAAAGGAATATGCAAATTTATCCAACAGGCATTTATTGAGTATCTACTCTGTGATGGTGTGTAGCCAGGTGCTGAGATAACTTGACGAGCAAAGGCAGATGTAGTTTCAGCCCCCAGGCAGCTTAGAAACTGGTGGCAAATCAGAGACATTATTAACCCGGTCACATTAGTAATGAGTGCTCCATTTGGCTCTTGTGCTCAGATCTGAGTACCCTGTCCCATCTCACATTTTGATTAAGAGACACCAGTTGAGCATTGCTGTTATCAAAGAAAAAAATATGCAAGTCTGAACATCAGTAAGGAAGGACTTCATTAAAGCAGCACTGTCACAATGGGAAGGTGCTCAAAACCTAAGCCAGAAATGTCCCAGGAAAGGGATGGGTGAATAAAGCCTTGATATCCAGAGACAGTGGGAAGATTACTTTGGAAAGAGGAAGGGGGAGGTGCTAAAAACTTCTAGGGAGGGTCTTAACAAATAGCTCAACTATTATAGTAGAAAAATCAAGGCAGGGAATGTTTGTGACTGGTCACTGGGGCAAGGCGTGCACCTGAGGTGGAGCAAACAAGATATAGAGAAGGAGTTCTGGGCCTGTTTTAGGAAAACCAGCCTCAATACTTGTCATGCTCAAAGTCTGATCAGCCTTATCCACATTCATAGGAAAAAGCTAAGGCTTAACCATAAGGCATCTGATGGCTGTGTCCTTTCTTAATAATTTCTCCCTTTAAAGTTATATAGACTACTGTAGGAAGAGTGAGTGTAGGCAATTCATTTTTCATTACTGTAAGAAAATACCTAAAGCTGGAGACTTATAAATAAAAGAGGTCTACTTAGCTCACAGTTTTGGAGGTCCAAGGATGAGGGGTTGGTTCTTTCTAGCAGTCTCCAGACAGTGCCAGTTATCACATGGAATGAAAAAGGGAACACACAGTTGTGTCTTCTACATCCTCTGGTCTCTTTTTCTTCTTCTAAAGCAACCTGTTCAATCACTGGGGCTTCTCCCTGATGACCTTATCTAATTCTGATCACCTAATTCTAATTAAAGGACCCACATCAAAACAACGTATTCAGATCAAGTTTTTACCCCCTTGATGCCTCACCATGTGAATTAAATTTCAGCATGAGTCTAGGGGGACAAACCATATTCAGACCATAGCAGTGATGAATTAAGGTATCAGAAACAGTAAAAGTACAAATTTATCTCCTGTGACTGTTGACCACTAGGTTGCCAACCATGGCGAAGTCCCTTCAGACAGTGTTTATGAATGTCACATGTACCCTGGATGCTAGGTCATGAGCATAGTGATAGACACACTGCACCAGGAAATAAAAGACATTCCCTGGAATTTAGTGCTGAAATCATATTTTAGAAACCATTATGGGAATCCTTTAGCTTTCAAAGTGGCCTCAGTTTTTACCTCCCAATAATGCTATGTACTTATAACAAACTCTATGCTTTTAACTGAACATTGCTAGCAATGTTGTGATACCAGCTCCGTGTTGTTAAGCAAGCATTATTGAGGGGTATATCATGCATGTAAACGCTTTCGGTAAAAGATGAGAAAACACCAATTAATATCAAAATGAATCTGCTCAATGAGCTGTAAAACTCGCAGTTCTTTCGGAGGCATTAAGCCTACTGGAAACTGCTACCAAAGAACTGTACTTTTATAGTGAAAAATACTTCTCACAAGAGGCCTTCAACTAAACCGCAGTATCTTAGATTTTATTTGGGAAAGTCAGTGGCTGCTCCCAACTCTAATCACACATGCTTTGGCCTCTTATAAGTACATCTGGCATTTAGACTGTGAAATACCCTACTGGGCCTTGAATTCTCTGACTGAGTTACTGATAAATTCACTGAAATGTGTATCAGCCTTTAAAATAAGTCCATAAAAAATGTGTCTCCATCCTGAGTTATATAGTTGTTCTGGTTGAAGAGCTTTGCATTAGAGGCAGGGAGAAATGCAGGGAGAGGGCAGGGACGGGGAATGAGAGGTAACTCTGGGGTGTGTCCCTGTCACTGTGCTTCTTGTGCTACGTGTGTCATGGCATTCACTGCCCATAACAGCTTTGTGATGAAGGAAGATCCTCTTTTGGTAGAATGAGAAACAGAGACACAGAGAAGACAATTCGTTTCCCCAGTCACCCAGCAGAAGAGTAAGATACAAGTTTGAGTATAGATCTGTCTGATTTGGGACCAGGCTGGAATTTTCTCAGTTCCAACTTCTGTGCTGTCATTTGATGTGTGGTCTTGAGCAAATCATGTGGCTGCTTTGATTTTCTGTTTTCTTGATTGTAAAATAGAGATAATGCTATGATTCACTTCACAAGGGTGAAAATTAAATCTATGTGAAAGCTCTCTGAGAAAATGTTAAGAACTGTTATGCAGCTGAGTGAATCAACTTTTTTTTTTTTTTTTTTTACCTTCCTGGAATGTCTGCTGTTGTCCTTTTGGTTAAGTATACCACAAAAGATAGACCTTTGGAGGGACACTGTTCCTCATGGAAGGTTTAACTGGAGCCCAGGAACACATTCTAAGCACAGAGACTCTTATTAGAGGCACAAAAGGACAACACATCTATGATTTACTAATTAGACCAATTTTTTAAATCAATGGAAGTATTTTAAAGGTATCTTTTTCTTCTTTTTTTTTTCTCTTTCATAGGAGGGAGGTTATGCCCTTGAGAAAATTACTTGACCTCTTTGAATTTGTTTCCCTATTAGTAAAATGGTAACAAAGACACAACCTCAGATTGCTTATCTTCTCATTTATTCCACAAATATTCTAAATGCCTGCTCTGAACAGGCATTGTTTCAGATGTTGGGAATACAGCAATGAACAAAACGGACAAAAGTACCTCCCCCTTACATTCTTTTGTAGATAAAGACAAGAAATAAAAAAGATAAGAAGAATGTAGAGTCTGTTAGACAGGGACATGTATGGGGGCGGGGAATGGAGCAGGAAGGGAAAAGGAATTGTTAGGGAAGGAAAGATCATCAGTGCTTTTAGACTTGGTGGCTTAGAAGGTACTAGAGTTTGGCATTCCTTCAAAAGTCATATGTTGGTGTATTGAAATGTCGCACTCTAACTCATAATGTGCAATTAATATGTGTCAATTAAAAATAAAAATTACTTAAAAAATTCATATGTTGAAACCTAATCATCAAGGTGATGGTATTCAGAGGTAGGGATTGGGAGGTGATCAGGTCATGAGGGCTTTGCCCATGTGGATGGGATTCATGCCCGTATAACAGGGTGGGAGGGATCTACCAGTTCTTTTCCCACTGTCTCTTTACCATGCAAGGATGCAGTGGAAAGCTGCCACTTTGGAAGCAGAGAGTAAGCTCTCACCAGATACTGAATCTACTAGCACCTTGATCTTGGACTTCCTACCTTCCAGAACTGTGATAAATAAATTCCTGTTGTCTACGAGCTTTTTGTCCTAAAGTATTTTGTTATAGCAGCAGAAATACACCAAGGCAGGAAAGTGGCAATTTAGTAAAGACTGAGACTAAAGGGGGTTATGTGGCTATCCTGAGAGAGAAGCATTCTGTGTGTGTTGCATATGTGAATACAGTGTGTGTGTGTAAGGGGGATTGCAAATACAATTACATGTATCACTCACATTGAGTAATCAATACTTGTTTGCTAACTGTGAAGAAACAAAAATGTGTGTCCACAGGTTCTACAAAGGGGATTATAAATCTAGACACAATAGCTTTGCAAATAAAAATGCAAAGCAAACAAAATGAAAGCATCATTTGCCTCAAATCTGCAACCCTGAGAATGTTAAGAAATCTCGGTGAAATTTCTATCAATCAGTTGCC